AATAATAATAATACTGGGAACACTTGTGGACAAGATTTTGTGTGGAGATATATTTCAATTTCTTTTGGATATGATCTAGGATAGATACGTTGTGTCATGTGTTGACTCCATATCAACTTTAAGAAGACCCTCCAGACTGTTTTTGTAAATGTTCCATTTACATTTTCACCAACACTGTATGAGAATTCTCATTTCTTCATCTTTCTTTTAACATTTATTATTATATGGTTTTTAAATACTAATCCGGTGGTTGTGAGGTGGTGTCTTAAGGTGATTTTGATTTCCTTTTCCCTAATGACTAAGGATGATGAGCATTCTTTAATGTTTTAGTCATTTCATATATCTTCTTTTCAGAAATATCCATTATAATCCCCCACCCTGCAGGGGTGTTGTGAATCAAACCCACAGCCAAGTTGCAAGTTGCTCCACCACTAAGATACTCCCTGTCCTTTACTCATTTTTTAAAAATTTAATTCATTTTAACTTTTTTTTCCCCCTTAAATTTTTGGTGCTGGGAATTTCACTCAGGGTCTGTGCATGATAGGGAAGGGTCCTACCACCGATCTATGCTCCAGCCTCCTAAATTGTTGTCTTTTAAAAAAAATATTTTAGTTGTAGTGGACACAATACCTTTATTTTATTTATTGATTTTTATGTGGTGCTGAGGATCGAACCCAGGCTCACACATGGTAGGCGAGCGCTCTACCGCTGAGCCACAATCCCTGCCCTTGTTATGTCTTTTTATTGTTTAGTTTTATATTCTAGATATCAGCCCATTTTAATTATATGATTTGCAAATACTTTCTTTCCATTCAGGGGGCATGTTTTATTTTCTTGGTAATACCGTTTGAAGCATAAAGGTTCTTAGTTGTAATGAAGTTCAGCTTATCTGTTTTCCCCCAGCTATAAATGCTTATGCTTTTGGTGTTGTATGTAAGAAACATTGCCTAACCCAAGATCATGAAAATTAACTCCTGTTCGCTCAACTGCTCCAGAGTTACATAGTCCTGGGTATATAGGTATCTATTTGTCCAGTACCATCTGTTGGAAGGACTATTGTGTTTCATCATTTAATTGTCTTCATACCCTTGTTGAAATATTTCTGGATCCTCCCCAATCCCATGGCTGTTTGTATGTGCTTCTAGTAACTCTTGTATAAAATAAATTCTTGAGGGGTTTCATTAGGATTAATGGGAGTTGTTTCTTTTCTGACCTTCATGAAAATGTACTTGGTTAGATAATCTGTCACCTCTCAACTTTTTTTTTTTTTTTTTTTTTGAGATTTAACCAGCTTTTGCATTATTCTAGAAACCTCTTTTAGAGGTTTAGAAGGTGACTTGAAGATGGTGTGGCATGGCTTCTTTGTGTCTGCCTGAGGGAAACTTACCTATGTAAGTTTCTCCTGTGTCGTAGGCAGTAGCAGGATGATTGGGTTGAAGAAGAATCAGTGCTTGGAGCTACAGCATTTGGCTATTGAACCAGTACTTACTATGATGAGTTGAACGATTTGAGAGTCTGTGCTAATTGCTACATAGTAGGTCAGTAAGAGAAGCTTTTGAAAAAAGAATCACTGATATGAACAGGCATCTGTGAGCAGAGCTGCCATTGTGGTACAGGTTGAATCCAGAGTCTAGAATAGTACCATCCAGTAGAAATACATTTTGTGCCTTCCTGTAATATGAGATTCCAGTGGCCACATTCAAAAAAAGTAAAAGAATTAAGTGAAATTAATAATATACTTTAATGTACAAAAACATGATAACATGTAACAATTACTAATATAATATTTTACTTTTTTGTACAAAGTCTTAGAAATCTAGTATGTATTTTATATTTACAGCAAATTTAATTTTGAACTAGACACATTTCAAATGCCTGTTATCCACCTGTGACCAGTGACTAATGTATTGGGTGTGCAGTTCTAGATATTTTGATATTACAGCCAGTTGAGCTGTTACATCAACATTACTCAGTGTTCTCTCTACTTCATGATATCCTGACTTCAGACTTTTAACTTAGTAGCACTGACTGGCCTTTGAGGAGCATTCTCACTGGCAGAATGTAAAATGACTGCTCACTTAGACCAGAGGGTCTGAGAATTTTGTTAAGCTATTTTGGCAGCTCAGCATTTTGGTAAGAGACACACACTTTATGATGAATGTGCCTGAGTCTCTGACGTGAGAGGAAATGGACAATGAAAATTTTATTCTGTTCTCCCAGATACAGTCTGTTCCACTGAAGAAAATAGAAAATATCACTAGTTCAGTGGTTCTCAGTTGGAATGATCCCCCCGCCTTCTAACACACTCGGGCATTTTTTTCTATTTGGACATATTTTTGGTGGTCACAGTAGGGTGTGTGTATGTGCGCTACTGACATGTAGGGGCTAAAGGCCTGGAATGGTAATAAGTATTCTACAATGCACCAAACAGTTCCCACAACAATTAATTACCTGGCCCAGGTGTGAATAGTGCTGAGCATAGTGGTGTGCTGCACTAGAACTGGATCTTTCTTTTGTTGTTAAATCATTTCTACAGTGAATACAATGTGCTTTACATTTAGAGAATCAACTCACTTTGTTTTCATATAAAATTTCTAAGTTAGGAAAAAATAGCTTTCAAAATACATCTGATTGAGCCAATTTGTTAGGTAGATTGTGCCTATACCCCTGAAGCATGGGTCTGGAAGCAGCTTTCTGTCAAGCAGGGAATAGCAGTGTCCCTCGAAATTGTTTCTCATTCTTCCCTTAGTGGAAGTGGTAAGACTGTTGCAGTCCCTGCCTGCTTCTCCTTCTTTAGAATTCCCTGTGCCTAGGACTACTTTGAGCTCGGCTATATCTGTTAAAAAGAAAATGAGCTTTTACAAGACTGCCAGAAAGATGATTGCACTTCCCTAAGGCCTATTAGAATTTCTGGATATATTTTGAAAGTCATGTGTGTGTATGTGTGACTGATCCCTTTTAGTGCCCCATCATGACTGACAGGTAACTCAGAATGTTGTCACTGCCACACTTTTAATATCTGTTACCTAGGGAGCTGTAACTTTAGGAGTCTTCATAAGATTAAGCAAGCAGAAATCAGTGCAGTCACATTTTACTTTCTTTAGCTGACCTGCCAAAGGTAATCATACTTGCTAGCAAGTATGTGCTTCACTTTACCTGTTGTATATGATCCCTTCTCTTTCCTCATGATATTTGATGTTTCTGCTGCCTCTCATCCTTGTCCCTTTGTCTCAGTTGTGGCAGTTTGAGCTTTTGATGGCAAGCCACATGCATTAATAGCTATAGTTAGCTTGGGCAATGTAGTAGAGGAAGTGTGAGGACTTTCAGATTGGGGAAGGACATAACCCCAGCCCAGGGCAATGACTTTTTTAAAGAAAGAAAGAAAGATAGGGGCAGTGGTTAGGGCACTCCTCTATTTCTGATTTTTTAGAGCAGTTAAGGATGACCTTGGCTCCTGTGACAGATCACCTTGTCAAGATTCCAGTGCTGGAGAGTGAGCCGTGGCTTTATTAGGCTCTACTAAAGTGAGGAGGGAAAAGATCTGGAATCATCTTTCGGTCAGCAGCCCCAAAGAAAATCCAGGTGTGTTTTTAGAAAGAGAAAGTTTATACGGGACTGGCAAAAAATGGCACATGTCTGCCATATTGATGCTACTGAGATTCCTCTTATTCCTCATAACTAGGGAAACCCCTCCCCCCATCATCCTACTGGTAATGCCTCTGGGGAATACCCTCAATAGCCCAAGCTCTTGCACCTGCCACAAATATCTGCTCCCACCCTACTTTTCACCCACATCTCCAAGACTAGTTCAGGAGAGCAGTGGTGGCTCTATTAGGAGGGCAGCTTAAGAGACAGATGGGCTTCTGGCATCCAAGTAGAGACATTAGTGTTTTCCACATTGAGACATGATTAGAAATAGCAATTAACTTTCATATCAAGTACAAGTTTGATTTTATAGAATCCCATTATGAATGTTTTGCTTTTAAGAAAATGTAATTAATATGTGTGTGTCTTTCTAGATTTTTCAAATTTTGCATTTTTAAGACTGCAGACTTTTATTGTTTTATAGGTTTTTTTTTTTTGTAAAAGAGTATATTATTGTTTTATAGGGTTTTTTTTGGTAAAAGAGTATATTAAATATCATTGAACCTTTTTGGGACAATTACAAATGGCCTTTGCAAATCTTGTACCTCTAGGAACTGTATTTGTGTTTGACCAAGAGTAGATCTATTTTTTATTTTAGTTATTTAATTAATTAATTTTGGAACTGAAGATTGAACCCAGGGGCATTTACCACTGAGCTGCATCCCCAGCTTTTAAAATTCTTATATTGAGACAGGGTCTTGCTAAGTTGTTTCAGACCGCACTAAGTTGCTGAATCTGGCCTTGAACTTATTAGATCCTCCTGCCTCAGCATCCTGAGTTGCTGGAGATTTATTTTTTAATTTCCAATTTGGGCCAATGTTCTTGATAAGTAAAGTTGATAGATAATTAAATTCTTAAGTGAAAATAACTGTAACTGTACTTTAGGTACAGTATGTGTTAATTACCTTTTATGAGTTATTCTAGAAACATAATTTCCTTCCTTCTACTTCTATGGGAAGGAAATTCTGATTTTCAAACAGAAGAAAACAAACTCCTTTATAAACTAGTGCTGCTTGCACCTCTTTATAGTTGCTGTGGCATGTTTTCTAACTAACTAAAGCTGTGTAGCGTGGGATGCTCTTTCATTTCAATCAATTTCACAGCATTGTCAAGAAATATGAAGTTCTGAGTGAAAAGATGCCTATAAAAATGCTCTTTAGTTAATATGAGTAGTCCCCCCCATTTATATATTGAAATACTACTTGAATTCAATCAAAATGGATGAAGTGACATAAATCAGCATTTCTTCTTAGCATGTGACAAGTTTTCTTTTCCTATATTAAGAAACTCCCATATGTATCCATAATGCAAGATTTACTTCTGAGTAAATAGGTGTTTTCTTTCCACTGTTTCAGGCCGGAGCCTCAACAGAAAGCTCCTTTAGTTCCTCCTCCTCCACCACCACCGCCACCTCCACCACCACCGCTGCCAGACCCCACACCCCCAGAGCCAGAGGAGGAGATCCTGGGATCAGATGATGAGGAACAAGAGGACCCTGCAGATTACTGCAAAGGTGATGTGTGGGCATGGCTGTGCAGACACAGCAGCCGGGCCTGTTTTCCTCACTCAGTCACCCAGTAACTTGGGGAATGGATGTGGAGAGGCACACTCTTGGGCTTAACTAAAATTAGCCTCCTTGTTCATTGAAAGTAGAATGATACCAGATTAGAAAGCAAATTGTAAGTTATGAGAATATGTACATACATACTCTAGGTACTTTGGAAAGTTTTTAATTTGATACATTTAAAGAATGTAGTAAACCATCTAAGGAAGAGCATATGGAGTTGAAGATAACCAGGCTCCTGAGATGAGCTGATTATAATTTTTGAATTTGACTTTCAGTCTTCTAGATGTTGGACTGAAAAGGGACCATTCCCTTCTCTATGGAGCATTGAATTACATAATATTCATTGTCTGCAGAAAGAAAGCATACACATTTGTTTACAGAGAGATTTTTTCCTGGCATTGTACTTAACGAAAAAGACATTTTGTGGAGTCTACTATTGTGTGACACAGTAGATTTTGTTTTCAGCTATGATTTCACAGAAGACATAGAAACCATTCAAGTCAATCAATCGATGCTTTGTTAAGACCAAAAATATAAAATTGGATTCCCGAGGGCAAGCATGTTGTATGAGGAATACTGAAGACAGTGTGACCTAGACACCATACTTCACGGACTGGACTCTGAGAATCTAGGAGAAAAGGAAGTTGTTGTGTCCATTCATCTGCTACTGTTTCTTAATGTACTCATTTGGATTTTAATTCCCTGGAATTCTGAGCTTCTGAGCAGTTCCTACTATGATAGTTTAGTTGCTGTAGATTTTTAAAAATTTAAATCAGATTCCATGTAACATAGTAGATGACAGAAGATGTACAAATGAACAGACCTTTAAAGCATTAAGGAATTATAGGGACTGTAGTTTCTTAGTAATTTATGATATGATATTATTTCTGTGTTAGTTAAGAAACAATATACTTTTAGTTAATCTGCTAAGAAGAGGACGACGTTTTTCTGCTATGAAAGTATAAGAACTAAATTTCTACTGTAAACCTAATTCTTCCACAGGTATAGGCATCTACACACAGAATCACTATTTCCTTTAGAAAAGAGAATGAGGATCTTACCATTTTATCTAAATATGGTCATGACCCCAAAGGTCTAGGTCCATGCTGTCTAATAAAAGAAAATAAATAGTTTGGAAAGGTGAGAAGTAGAAATTCCCTAACCTGTCTCTTAATCTGCATTTCTTGGCTTGGAAATTAGGTTGCTAAAAGAGGAAATGTGGACTACTATTTTTTAATTTTACTGCTGAGGTGAAAGCATTAGGCTTGTCCAATGGAACCATCCTTCAGGAGCTGTTCTCTTCAGCAATAGGCTCTACCATGCTGGAAAGAAAACTGCCTGCTCTACACCTGACTGTCCTGTCTGTTGGTCAGGAGGTGGAGCCAGTATTCTCATTGCCCTTCCGTCTCTGAGGACCAGCACAGGGATATCCTGTCCTCAAATACAGAGCCAAGGATTAGAAAGTTCAGCAGTCAGGGATGATTTTAGGTAACACTCACTGAACTCTAAATATCTTAAAGAGTTTAGTCAGTCTCAACAAGGCCTGTTAGAGATGGCTAGATGTTCTCCCTATGTGCATGTATGCACATGCATTCCTATACACATGTACTGTTTTCCATTCTTAAATTTTGTAAGTAACTAGTGCCTCTAGTTTGCATTACATGTGCCAGATGCCATCCATACTCTGAATTTTGTGGTATAGATCATAACAATTTGTGTTAGATAACTGACATAAATATATTTAAGGAGTCTGTGTTAGATTTCTGTTGCTGTGGCAAAATACCTATAATCAAAAGGAGGAAAAGGCTCATTTTGTCCCAGTTTCACTTTTCAGTTCATGGTCCTATGAACCTGTGGTGAGGCAGAACATCTTGGCTTGAGGCCATAATAGAGAAAACTGCTCACCTCAAGAGGGCTGTAAAGCAAAGAGAGAACGGGATAGGAGAAAGGAGAAACGAATGTCCCTCCCCTTCAAGGGCACAACCCCAATGACCTAACTTTTTTCTACTAGGCCTTACTTCCTGAAGGTACCATTACTTTCCAGTAGAACCACAGGCTGGTGACCAAAGCCTTCAGCACATGACTTTTGGAAGACATTTGGAGTCCAAAGGAATAACAGAGTCCAAGGAATTGGACTGGAATGTCTAGTATTAAGAACTGTGGACTTCAAATTTCTTTCTATATTGGATGAAAGAGGTAGTTCCCCCCCCCCACACACACACACACTAGAACTGATTTAGGTCTCTTAAGTTAATAAAGATGCTTTATCACCTCTGAGTATTTAGTGTTTTAGCCTGCCATCAAGTACATTCTCCTATGAGCCACACTACAATGATCAGGATTAGGAAGTTAACATGTTAATATTATTTAACCATCAGGCACCATTTAGCATCTGACAGTTGCCCAGTATAAAGTAGTTCCATGGCAGAATCATACATTACATTTTGTTGTCTTGTTCCTTTCATCTCCTTTATTTGGAACAGTTTCTGAGTATTTTCTTGGCTTTCATGACCTTGACATTTGAAGATTGTAGGCCAATTATTTTATAACGTTTCTCAATTTGGAATACCCCAAAAGTGATGTTGTAAGGTCTTTTCAGTGCGTCCTATCCAGATGGTAAATATTTTGATTCAGTGTCTTAGAGGTGGTGCCATCAATTTAGATTGTGACTATTAGATATCTCTACTGTACAGTTAATCTTTCCGAACCCTAATTAATAATTATTTTGTTGAGCTGTTTTAGACCATATCAATATCTCAGTCAACATATCCACCCCCTGTCCCAACTGTCTGAATTTCTGTTTCAGAAATGATGTTAATAGATTAACTCATCATAGACTTCTGTTTTATTCAGTGGGTTATAATCAGCTACCTTCAATTTATTATGATGGTTGGATTTACCCTGAATCCTTGGAGCCCAGAGGATCTTCTCAGTTTTCTCCTCTTTGATCTTGTGGCTTCTTTCTGATTTATACGAGGCCGGGCTCTCCTTGTCGCATTACATTTACTTAGCTGATTTATTTCCTTGTGTGTGATGAGTCACCTGTTGCTATCATTGACATTTTGGTCACCTCTCCCTTCCCTCCTTACCTGTCATGGGCACTGACACCCTTTATGCCTTTCCCTGGCTAATGGCTTTGGGACTAAATTGTTCAGGAAGGGTTAAGGGGAGGGCTTGCTCTCAAGAGTGGGAGGATATTTTACTTAGGCTGAGGTGTCTTGTTTGGATCCTGTCACTGTATTTGTTCCTCTTGTTGTCATTGCCTTCATTCCTAAAGCACTTCTGCTTTGTCAGCCACTTTTCATTTCTCCCCAATTACAATGAAGCATCAACAGCAAAATATACTACATAGTTTTTCTCTTCACAAAGGAATATTTATTCATCACAGGAAATACTACACTTTTAGTGGATGTCTCTTGGAACCTGTCACTTAGAAGCTGCTACCATGGGCCTTTGGATCCTTGCTGTTCTTAGTCATTCACAACTGGCCACATTGCATTTGATCTTTAACTCCTTACTGCTGCAGCATGTCTTCCCATATTCAAAACTTGTGAGTCCACTATTACTTACCAAAAGGTCCTCTTTATAGTTCTGATGTTTCTAACCTATTATTCATTACTTCTGTCTTCTTGCATTGCCATCGTCTTTGGAGTGGGACTTTCTTTTTCCTTTCTTGGTAGCCAGCTTGTTTAATCTTAACTCCACAGGAGGATTGTGGACTGGTGCCCGAGAGATCTGGGTTCTGAATCTGACTCTGCTGCTCTCTGGCTCTGTATCCTTGCCTTTTTTTTTTTTTTTTAAATCTATGATGTAAAAATATATAATAATATCTTCCTTGCTAAGATTTTTATGGGGATGAAAATGAGATAACATGTGAAGTGTGTGGCATAGTATACTAGAAGATTTCTTAAGAAGTATGAACTTTATTTTCTATTTTGTGGTATTTGTTCCACAGTTCTTCTCTTGAGTGCATCCCCTCTGTATTTTCCTGCTACTCCCATTGGTACAGGTTCCCTTAGTGCCCTGCCTGAGCTTTCTAGTGGGAGAGTGTTTCCTTAGCCGAGAGAGAGAGAGAGAGAGAGAGAGAGAGAGAGAGAGAGAGAGAGAG